GGCCCAGCTATGTTAGGTCAAAAATCTAGATTTACCAGAATTTTGAAACAAGAGACTGATTTTTCCCTTATTGCTTCACTCCATTGTGTGACACACACTGAAAATATTTGTGCTAATTTTTTTTTAATGAAAAGTATCATGGATACAGCTGTTAAAATCATTCAGTATGTACATGTTGTAAACCACGAGTGTACGGAACTATTGAAAGAAATAGAAAATGATGTATTTGATGATTGTGTGCTCTTTACTAATGTTGACTGCTTAAGAGTTGTGGGAGAGTTTTATAAAGATTTACAATACTTGTAACCCCAGTTCAAGATTTTCTTGAAACTGAAAGAATGATTAAAGTAAAAAAAAAATGGCTGCATGATTTATGGTTTCTCAACTATATCAGATTGCACATGAATTATCTAAACTTAAGTACTACAGAAAGCAATAATAATTTATATTGAAATATAAATTGTTCATAAAGCAAATTAGTGATGTTTTTACATATTTTTTAAAAGCATAAATTGAGATGCATATTTTAATTGTAATCAACTGTTAGGTAAATTGGCGGCAAAAATTACAAGAAAAACGTGAGCATCTCTATGTTTATATTGATAAATTTAGAATTGCTTTTCAACTTATGCAATACTCTTTTGAAATCAATGTTAATATTACTGAGTTGATATAAGAGTTAATGAATTTATTTAACTTGGACAGATGTAGTTTCAAAATTGGTATGGTTTTGCCTCAGAGTCAAATTGATTCTTTGAAGGAAAAACATGAACCAGTTTTAGAAATAAAAATGCAAACACTAAGGGAAAAATGTTTTGGTACAAGATTCAGTTATTGGGAAATTTTTAAGTACATTTGGAACAACTTGAATAGGTGAATCTACTTTTTCAATTGTAAGTTTTATAAAATCTAAATATCGATCAGGTATTTCTGATGAAAATTTAACATTTCAATTGAGATGTATCTAAGTATAAAACAGACAGTGGAGTTCCAACACTTACTATGAAGAAAATAATGTAAAATATCTCATTAATAATTTTTATACTTATCAGATGTTGAGATGATCACAGCTAGGATATATTGGGTTAAATCAAATACAATACTAAAATTAATTTTCTTATTTCCTTTTTACTTACTTTAATGCTGCTTCCAAAAATTAAATTGTGTATGTGAACTGACTTAGATTTAAATTGGACAGTGGGAATCTGTAGGTACGAACACTATGCCACATATAGGGCTACCTCTCCCACCACCTCAAAGGCTCCGAGATTTCTTCTTCACAGTGTTCCATCTGAGTCTGTGATTTCCTGGGTGAAAAGGACAAGTCCTGTCGTCCCAATTTAACCTCACTCCATATTTACCCATTTGCTTTTTTAAAATAAGTATACCATAATTCTGTAATTATTTTCAAGTTTTGTTTTTGTTTTCTTCAAAATTAGATTTTCACATAATTTATAGAATCTAACAATTCTATGAGACTTATTCCAAAAAAAATCATCCTACTATTCAACCCTTGACCACCACATCTTCTCTTTTTCAATAGCAACCACTTTCATTTATTTTAGCTGTTTCTTTGTTACTTACCTCCATATATAAAAATAACAGCCTTGTATTTCCTACCTTCTGAATTTTCAATTTTAGGTATCACGCAGGGAAAATAAGGATTTAGCTCTTATTCATCATCTCCCACTCCTTTATCACAGACCACCACACCACCATTACTACCACCCACATTCACACAAACTCTCTGTCCCATGATCCCTTCAATATAATTATATCATACTTCTGTTTAGATTAATACCGTGTTTAAATTATTATGACAATTTCAATGTTATTCATAGCATTGAACCTATAGATATGAACGATATAGTATACTATCTTTACTTTTCCTTTCTTGCACAATTTTATTTTTCCTAAAGTAATGCTTTCCTCTTTTTTGTTTAGTTTTCTATTTGTTACTAATTCAGCCTCTATTTTCCCCTAATAACCTCAAATATTTCCTCTCTGTATTCAGACACACCAGGGTGTTCTATTGTTTTCTTTACCTGGATTAATCTCTCCTGGCATCTTCTGATCTGCCCCACTCTAGGCCTACTTCACACTCTATTCCTGGGAATTCATTTCACCAAAGTGTTGAGAATTTCTTTGACTTCTTTCTTCTTGGATCCAACGTCTTCATGCTTTTATTTTTGTGCAGCACATTATCTACTAGCTAGCTTCCTGGGAAAAGGTACATGAGATGTAATTTTTGTGAGTTCCTGAAAGCCCAAATTTTCTTTGGTCTAGAGCCTTTCTTTATTGATAGTTTAGTTGGGTATAGAAATCTAGTGGGAAAATATATTTGCTCAGGATTTTAAAAGATATTGCTCGATTGTTTTCTAGCATCTGGTGGCGGTGTGAAATCTGATCCTTGATTCTTCATATGTGGCTTGTTTTATTTTTCTCTCTCTCCTCTCTGAAAGCTTATAAATTATTTTTTCTTGATCCTATGTTCTGAAATTTCACAATGATATACTGCATGTCCTCCACTGTTTTCTGGAATTCATATTATTCAAATGTAGGATCTAATAAGGGAGAAGTAACATAATTATCTAGTATTTTCTCTCATTTATTTCATCTTCATTTTCAAAGTTTTTTTTGCTTTATTTTAAGAAAGATTTTCTCAACTTTATCTTATGAGCCTTCTATTGAATTTTATTTATACACTATACTTTTAATTTTCAAAAGTTATGTCATGATTGGAAAGTTTTTATCCCCTCCAAAACTCATGTTGAAAATTAATTCTCAATGTAACAGTGTTGGGAGATGGGGCCAAATGGGCAGAGCACTCATGAATGGATTAATTACTCTATAAAAAGAGTAAAAAGAGCTTCTGAGAGTAAGTCACCTCTCTTCTGCTATTTGAGGAACAGCATTCTTCTCTTCTGGAGGATGAAGACACTGAGGCCCCATCTTGGAACTGGAGACCAGACCCTCCCAAGACACCAAGCCTGTTAGCACCTTGAGCTTGGACTTCCCAGCCACCAGAACTATGAGAGAATATATTTCTATTCTTTAGTAAATTACTCAATCTCATTATTCTATTATAGCAGCACAAACAACCAAGACAAGTGTTCCTTGTTCTTTTTTTTTTTTTTTCCCACAAAACCTCTTCTCATTTCATGAATCCTTTTATTTCAGAGGCTATTAATAATAGTTTCTTTTTTCTTTCTGAAGTTCTGAAGTTTCATCTTCCTGCTTTGTCTCTACTTCTTCCAGGTTTTGTTGTTTTCTATTAGTTGTTTTGATTTCTGTCATGTTATAGGCTTCCTTAGGTGTTTACTAGTTCAGAGCTGTTTATTCATATTTAAAAATGGGATTAAAAAAAACTGATTGGAAAATTTGTCTAAATGGGTGAGACCTGCTGACTGTGGTATTCTGACTGAGTCATTCATGCGGGAAAACTTTGATGCCAGTATCTTTTTTTTTTTTGACAGAGTCTTGTTCTATCACTCAGGCTGGAGTGCAGTGGTGTGATCCCGGCTCACTGCAACCTCTGTCTCCCGGGTTCAAGCGATTCTCTTACCTTAGCCTCCCAAGTAGCTGGGATTATAGGTGTGTGCTACCACACCTGGCTAATTTTTGTATTTTTAGTAGAGACAGGGTTTTGGGATGTTCAAGTGATCTGCCCGCTTCAGCCTCCCAAAGTGCTGGAATTACAGGTATGAGCCACTGCACCAGGCCCGATGCCAGTATCTTTAGGACTTTTTTCTCTTTGACTAGTTGGATTTTTTTTTTTTGTCACAATTCATTTTTATTGATAGAAAATAAACACTTATTCCAGTTTCAAAGTTGTTATACTTGAAGTTGCTATTTTAAAAATATGAATTTTAAATAATCACTTAATAATCCTGCTTTGACTAAGACAATAAAATGTGGCTTAAAAAAAAAAGTATTCAGCACCATTTGCTCATAGATCTTTCAGAATTTGTTCTTAATGTTTCTGGAACTTTCCTATCTGTAAAGTACAGGAATTAATCAGCTACATGAGAAAGCCTCTCTGGCACAGGCAATGGGAAGTTAAGCAGTCATCATAAAGGAATCGATGTATATTCTGTGTGATTTGGACTACAAAACAGTCTCTTCCCTTCTACGGTAGCTCAAGAGAGACATGCTTCTAAGCACTGAGGTATGAGGAGTCTCAGATTGTTATTTGCTGTTAGAATTGGTCTTCCCAGCTAGTAATAGTAAATCTCTGGCACAGGTGCTATTGGTCCTTAATGTCCTGTGATTTTAGGAAATTCTGTAAATAGTTTGAATTCAGTTCAATTTATTCAGAAATGAAACATGTTTAATTAAGTTCACTACTCTGACAGAGCAAGGATATTTTGGTTTAGCATCCTTATAAAATATATGTAATGTGTAGGTAAATAATGGTCCTAAATCATACTTAGAACACTACATTATTTAAACCAATATCTCTTTTAACAAAATGTTTATAATTAAAAACAGCTGATGAAACTACATCCAAAGGTATGACAAAGGAGACTCAGCTCTGTGTTGCTTTTAAAAGAACTTTTAAAAAGCCATTCAAGGGTAGGTAAAGAAGCCCACTTCTCATTGTAGAATTCCTATTGGGGCTGGACCATAAATTAGCACTTCTAAATATTTCAGAAAAGTCCAAAGTGTTAAAAAGCCTTTCAGGCAAAAGAACGTCTTTCTGCATCAGTGAGTAGTAGTGCTCATCAGAATTTCCTAATAACACAAAAACAAAGGCAAGTCTTTACATTTGATCAGATGTCAAAAAAATGGGAGACAGACTATTATGTCAGCCTTAGTTAGAGCTCATGCTGGCTTCTTCCTACGTTACTGTTCACCAATTTGAGTAAAGTGGACTTCGTGAGAGAATAGTGTTTGATGGCTAGGATGTCTTTTGGGTGTTTCTCCTAAGTGGAATACACTTAGGAAGAAAGTGTATAAGGGAATAGGGGAAATAATAGAGGGAAGCCATTCTTTCCAGCTCAGAAGGAGTTGGTGATGCCCATATATGCATTGAAGAAGCCCATGGGATTCTCTAGCTGTGGATAGTGGCTAATGCGGTCATCCAGAATCGACACTGTGGACTGCAGAAGCATTTTCCTGTACAGCTCCAAAAACTCTGGATAGGGATTTACAGGATCCAATGACCCATAGATACAATAAATGGAGATACTTTCAGAGGCAAGAGCTCCCACCCAGCCCTTTCTAATCTGCTTCCTCAGATTGCTGTACTCTAAGACACTGTCAGTGATGAATTCTTGTCATTGTTGAGGACCCCGGCCCACATGTCCCACAGCTCACTCTCAGACGGCTGAGTATATGGCCCAAAGACTGGTGTAAAACCTTGAGAGAATACAAAGGAGTTCATCAGCTGCGTGAGGATGGGTGACAGCACAACTCCATCTTTGCGCAGCTTTTGGAGAAGGAGTAGACAGTGAGTCTCAGGAAAGATACCTCCATTTGATAGACAGATGCCACAAAAGTGCTTCCAGGATGCTGGCCTACTCAAATATGGAATAGTGAGTGCTATGGTCTCAGTTTGTCACTGAAGCCAAAGCCTAGGAAATCAAGGGCAATCACCCGATGAAACCTCAAGGTCAGACCTTCCCAAATCTTGTACCAATCATAGCTGGATGTTGGAAAGCCATGTAAAAGAACAACTATCTCTGGACTTCCAACCACATCCACAGAGTCTCGGTAGAAGATAGGCCGTCCCTTGTAAGTGAAAAACTTGCCTGAAGACTTCCATGAGTGAAGGGCAAGGGAGAGCTGAGCGGGTGGGATGTGCAGGTATGTGGCAAGCAGGAGCACTTTCAACAGCCCCACCTCGACCCACCACCCCCTCATCCTGATTCAGGTTAAGACCTGGGCTGCAGGACTTCATGTGTGGGGAAATCAGTTGTGCATGCTGGCCAGTTGGATTTCTTAGCGTAGAGTCTTCTAATCTCTTGTCTAGAGGATCTAAAGCTGACTGCCAGCATTCTAGAAACAAAATAAGTGAAAGGGCTGAAGAGGGAGAGGAGAAGTTTTAAAATTCAGCATGTACATTTTCACTAAGTCTCTATCCTCAATTGTCCTAAAGTCTCATAGCCCTCAGTCCTCTTACTAGAGAGAACAAACCTCAAAAATTCTGCTACGGTGATACTAAGGCTATCATTCTAATAAATGGAATTGGTAAGGAGATTCCAAATCTAACTGTTTAAGTCTTTCTGTTTTTATCCTTTCTTCACCCCACTTCCAGAGGTACCCAGTGTCATTAACTTCTGAGCCCTTTGGCATTTCCATGCTACAAGTTTCTTCTCGGATTTTTCCACGGCTGGCATAAGATTCAACTTTTTCAAGTCTGCTGAACCAGTTATTGTCTTGTCTGGATTCCTCAAAAGCAGATCCTGAGACAAAGGCCGATGCACAAAATGTTTACGTGTGGGTATGATCCTGAGGCTTAGGAATGGGGGTGAGTCAAGAAAGGAGAGAGAGAGAAGAATGCATTATATTGTTGGCCACAGCTTCGGGGCACTTCTATGTGAGTTGTCAACCAGGTTCCTCCAGGTATCCCACCACTTGACATCAAGGAAGCCTAAGAGAGGCATTGTCAGTTTAGACTTCTATGCAGCTGTTTCAAGCATGCTCAAAACTGGCCTCTACAGTTATGGCTGGGACAAGAGGTGAGACTTAGAGGATTTGTTGGATTTGTGCTGAATCTATCATTAATCTATAGATTAGGTAAAGAAGAATGAACATCTCAACAATATTGAGTTGTATAATGCATTTTAAAAGTTTGTGGTCAGGCACAGTGGCTCACGCCTGTAATCCCAGCACTTTGGGAGGTCGAGGTGGGCTGATCACAAGGTCAGCAGATCGAGATCATCCTGGCTAATGCGGTGAAACCTCGTCTCTACTAAAAAAAAAAAAAAAAAAAAATGTGTGTGTGTGTGTGTGTGTGCGCGCGTGCATGTGTATAATCTTTATTATTTAGATCTTTTTTATTTCTCTTGGCAATATTCAGTATGTTTTGCACTTCTACAGGTATTGTGCTTCTGCTGACCCTCTTTTCCTTTGCTGTGTCCAGTTTGCTGTTAAACACATTATATAAATTATTCGCTTCCAATATCATTTTTTTTATTTGTAAGATTTTCATTTGGTTCTTTTTAATAGCTTTTAGCTATCTGCTTATATTCCTTCTCTATTCACACATGTTTTTCACTAGATACTTTAACATATTTTTTCTACTTATTTTAAAGTCCATATCTGATAATTCCAACATTAAAATCATCTCTGGGTTGGCTTCTACTGACCTCTCTTAACCATAGGTCATATCTTCTTGCTTCTTCACATATCTCTTTAATTTTAATTTGATGCTAGTAATTGTATATTAAAGAACAGTAGCTTAAAAAGTGCTGACATCGGCCAGGCATGGTAGCTTGCATCTATAATCCTAACACTTTGGGAGGCTGAGGTGGGAGGATCATTTGAGCCTAGGCGTTCAAGACCAGCCTGGGCAACATAGTGAGACCCCATCTCTATGAAAAAAAGAAAGGAAAAAAAATTTTAAGTGCTAATATTTACCTCCAGAAAAGGGCACACCTCTTTTGGGTCATGAGTGTAGCAGGCTGAGTCAATTTAATCTGTAGTTGGACTTGGTTGCAGCTTTAGCTAGATTCACTCACCTTGGCTACAAGTATTTTGAGGAAGGGATTAGGACTTTCCCTCCAACTGGGCTTGGGATATGAGCACTGGACTCTAAAGATCTCTTTGTGCTTTATTGCCCAACCCTCATGTTTTAGCTATGGGAGATTTATATGTGCTTTAAAGCAGGCTGCCAAGCTTTTGGGTTGCTGGACAGCTCTCTTTGCTCTCCAGTTCAACTTCCAGCCTTTTGCTTCTCAGAAGACTCCTTTCTGCCTTTCTTTTCTGTCCCCAGGTTTTGGAGAGCCTCTGTAGTGCATTCAGAGTGCCTCAGATGGATATCATTCAGCTGTCTTGTCCCGCCCAAGGCTGGGAAAAATTGAAATGATGTACAAAAGATATCCAATATATTTACAATTGCCCTTCTGCTTTTAAGCCTTCAACACGTTGCTACAATCATCTCCTTTCCCATATGCATTGTCCTTGTGGTTTCTACTTCTTCTTTTTTTTTTTTTTTTTTCTTTCAGACAAGGTCTCACTCTGTCATCCAGGCTGGAGTGTAGTGGTGCAATCGGTTCACCGCAACCTCCACCCCACCGGGTTCAAGTGATTCTCCTGCCTCAGCCTCCTGAGTAGCTGGGATCACAGGCATGTGCCCCCACACCTGGCTAATTTTTGTGTTTTTAGTAGAGACGGGGTTTTGCCATGTTGGCCAGGCTGGTTTATTTTTCTTGTGTATTTAATATTATAAATTAAATATATATTTAATAATGATTTTTGGAGGATGCACAGTTATATATATGTGTTCAATTTATTCTCATTAATCCAACATCTTTCTATTTGCTGAGTCTTTTGTCATTGTTCTTGTTGCTAAGCCTTTACATATTTACTTGTAATTATGATGTATATTACTCTAAAAGATCAGCCTCACTTCTATACTCTAATTCTTACCAATTCAGGCCCACAGAAATAAACCCAAGCCTTTAAAGTAATTCAGTCAATATATAACCTTTTTAGCTATTTTAAAGGCTTTAGTTACCAAGGTGCTTAACTCTTTTTTTAAAAAAATGCCCTGTTGGATAGAGGAATGCATGCCTTTCTTTAAGATCCCACTCATTTCCTCATGCAACAGATTTATATTTTCCACCCTCATTCTACCCCAACTTTAAAACAGAAACACAGAAAAATCAGCTATAATTGAGAGGAAACATGTACATTATCAACTATTCTTGCAAAAAAAAAAAAAAAAAAGACTCTTTTCCTAAGCAAATGGCAAGATCTAAGAGTGTTTTGCCAGAGTTTGGCAGTGCAATCACCAATCCCATATATTACAGCCAGAGACTGCTGGCAAAGCCCATGAGCAGGTTAGGGGCAGTGACACTTGGAGGCTGACTCTGGACTTCTCAGCCTCTAACCACAATTTCTAAAGTGTAAGACTCCTCTCTAACAAGCTCAGTCACTAAAAGTAGCCAATGCTCAGAGCTCCTTCCACTCCTAGTGACTAGCACATCTCCACCGTCCCCCAAACTTACCAGCCTGTATTTAGACATCAGTCTCCTGATTTACTAATGTCATGTGATCTGTAAAACAATCTGTTAGCTGGGCTTGGTGGCGCATGCCTGTAATCCCAGCTAATTGGGAGGCTGAGGCAGGAGAATTGCTTGAACCCGGGAGGCAGAGGTTGCAGTAAGCCGAGATCGCGCCGCTGCACTCCAGTCTGGGTGACACAGCGAGACTCCGTCTCAAAAAAAAAAAAAAAAAAGCAATCTGCTTTTCCTCCAGTAGACACCACCATCCCCACAGTCCCCCACTTCACCCCATGCTAGCTCTGGACACCAGGCCTTCGCACATCTCAAATTACTGATGTGCATTTCCCTTAGACGTGGGAGTGACAGAACAACAGCACCAAGGCTCAATTTGTTATCAGAGACATGCTTGGTTGGCTCATTTTCCAAATGAAATTTGGTGCCACTTTAAAAGTCAAAGCTGTCATAAAAATGCCACAGACCCTGAGGATTAATCTTACACTGTAGAAATTTTAGAAACTCTTCTTCAAAATTAGAATTAGGCTGTGTGCAGCTTAAAAAGCAAAAATAGGTCAAGGCACTTCCAAAAGGTTACTTATGAATCTATCCTCCCACAATAAGTGCCTTTAACTCAATGTCTCTCATTCAGTCTAGTCCAGAGCAGAAGTGCCCATGACTCACCGTATTAAGTGCAGCGTTTCTGATGTGTCCATCATTTTTGTGTCACTTCAGTGGAAGCCTGCAATTCCAATTTTACACTCTCAGTCTCCTCTGTATGGGAAGACTGGTTACAACAGACTACATCACTGCCTCTGCTCCCTCAAAATGCACCTCCCAAACCATGCTGTAAAGAAACCCTCTGTTATACCTTCTGAATCTTTCAAGAAATGATTCCACACCAATGTAGCAACAGATACTAAAGGACTCACCAGTCCCCTTTCAAGAGGATGAATATTACCCTCCGGGACTTGCTAGAGATTTGATGTAACAAGTCGTGGTAGGCTGGAGGTAAAAAGATATGTTTCCTTTTTTTTTTTTTTGTTTTTCCTAGGCAAAGCTTTTTGTGACACCCTCATTTATCTCATGGCCATCTTCTCAGCCCAGATAACAGCTGGTCGTTTATGTCTTTCATTTTATGCAGATTTATTGAATATCCACTGAGTGCTGACGTGCTCAGTGCTGGGGATCCTGAGACCAAAAAGACACATGAATTGACTGCTGGGACTTACCATCTAGTTGGGAAAGACATGAAGAAATTTAGGATGACACAAGGAATCTACGTATTTAGGGTAACAGAAAGACAGACTGAAAAGGTGAGTGTGTTAAGAGAGGCTTCAGTGTTCTGCTGCTAAATCTTTAACAGCACAATCTTCAGAAAGAGAGAAAAAGCTCTGATTCGTAGTTGCCAATTTCTGTGGTGTAAATATTCCCATGGGTGCTGATTCCAGTGTTCCAATATGTCATCACTGAACAAGGAGTTGAGGAGAGATGCTAACCCTTAGCTCTTCCAAGCCCATATAAACTGACTTTAGCACTCCACAGAGGTTTTTCTGGAGATGACTCTGACTTGAGTCTTAAAAAATAAGAAGGTAAGCAGGGCATGGTGGCTTATGCCTGTAATCCCAGCATGTTGGGAGGCTGAGGCGGGTGGATCACCTGAGGTCAGGAGCTCAAGACCAGCCTGGTCAACATGGC